GATTGTTCATTATCTATCTATCTATCTATCTATCTATCTATCTAAACTGCGTCCCATACTTTTTAATTTTGGACAAATGTCCGTAGGCTATTAAAGGGATTCGTGCAAAATTACGGTTAACTACATAAAATTCTACCACCTTGAAACAGGCACTAGGTTTAAGGCTCCAAAAATGATACCTCCGGATTGTTCAAGAGACGAATGGATGAAAACATTGATTGCAAAACATCTGATTCCGTGACAATCGTGAATTCAATACATTGCTGAAGAGTAGCATAATCTGGTGAATAATTTGAATTTAAGTCGAATGAAACTGATGAATGTTCCAATTATAAGGCGGTAGTTCCATCAGGCAGATTTTCCCAAGAATTTCTACTTTGTTGAACAGACTCCTGCGTGGATGCTTCCCTGAACATTAGAATCTTAACCTCTTCAAGTCATGTGTCAGTTATTATATATCCTCCTTATGCTCATAATATTCATTTCCTATATTCTTCTCTTACATTCATATCACACCCCTCTTAGATTAAAGATCTATATTGAGTGACTCTTGAGCCTAGTGCTGGATGACCTTTAATATTCAAAAATCTATTGCTGAATTTTATCACAACACTCCAAGTCGCTAAATGTCTTGAGCAAATAATGCGAAATCGGACGTAGCTTCCACTTACTTGAAATCTATACTACCTTCGTTACCAATCGTCGTGGCACGGTGGGATAGGAACCTGTGAGCCGAGATCGAATTCCAGTCTAGTTCATTACATTCACTTACGCGCTAATACCCTTGGTAAAGGTATGAATCTATCTCTTCTCATCACTACCATGGGAAAAATATCAGTACCCTATAGCCATGAGTGGCAACCAGTCTAGAAGTCACCTCTGACTTAAAATCGGATAGCGCTATCCTAAAAGTGTGTATACAGGCTGGGGGCCGCTTGTGAATCAAAATTCCTACTGAAATGCCAGCTATAAATTTTCATGTCCGAGTGAATACGACCTTTGCTATGCTTGGTCAGCTGTCGTTCAGGTTCGGAGGGTTCATTTGACAGAGCCATTACAATCGACCGGGTGAATGCTGCCACAGATACGGGTAGGAAGATACAGATAACGTACTTTAGTAGTCAAAAAGTGTACTGGGCCAGACTGCTGTGATAAAAAAGGGACAATAATAAAATTGACAAAAATAATTTTAAAAATATCTTTCCTTCTAGTATTTACTTAGAAATACGAATGTTGATTGATAGCTGACGTCTTCAAACAATTCCAGATAGGATAATGAAACTGATATCAAAGGGAAATAAATTTACTTGCAAATCAAAATTGCAAGTTTATTTTTCAACATAGTCATCAAACTTTTTAATGATTTCACTTCAAGCAAGGCAATGGAGCAAGAGTTTGCTGTGTGTAAGAGAATACGAGAAAAAGAAAGCATTATTGAGAAGAGACAACAATAAACTTCTCAACTTTGGAATACGGAGGAAACGTAGGTGATTCGACTCTGTGGAAGTAGGATGACGTAAGGATTTGAAGTAATAGAACTAAAGAACTGAGCTTATATAAACATTTGGCTATAAAGTAACGATAAACTGGCAACATTGAATGGCTACAGACTTGCAAATTGGCTGTACAATTTCTGTTCTCGTGTATATAGAAATATATACCGATATTTTTAAAAGCATTTCACCCAGTCAGTCAGTTATGTGCCATGCGTGATACACGCTTAGGCGATCATGTATCTTTCGATACATGACTGACTAGGCAGATTTTTTTCCCAAAGTAGATTGCCATTTCTTTCTGCGGTAGACTAGTTGCCGTTCAAGGCTATAGAAACCAGCCTGCCATGTTATTTACCCATAGCTGGGGGAGAAGAAAAAGATTTATACCTTTTCCAAGGGTATTAGCACGTGACTGTAATTCGAACTCGGCTCTCCGATTCCTCAATCTGATATTGAATTTAAATTCTTGCAAATTTGTTCAAAGTTCAGATTTGGAAAGCAAGAAACCGGGAGAGAGTTCCACAAACCAGAAGTACAAGAGAAGACACTGTTAGCATAGAAGTTGCAGTTACCGCTAATCATTTCAACTATAAAATAGTGAGACCTTGCCACCAATCAAGTACCGCGCAGGAAAAGAAAATAAGTGTAATGATAAACCCATTAATACTTGTATCATAAAGCAAATTATCCAAATAGAAAAAAAAAGCTTTAAATCATTATGCTATAACGTTTTGTGATATAAAATCCTAAACAAGAAAGAAAACAGTAAATAAAACAAATGACGCCATTTCCTTTTTACCTATTTTTTTAACCTTCGACTTCTAACTGCAACAACTAGCGTATCTTTAACGAATATTTATAGCTCTAATATTTACTAAAGGACATTTCTCTTTAGAATAATGGTTAATGAGCTCCTCTTACAGACCATTCTCCTATAGTAAGGTAATTTCTAACTAGGTGCTCCCCACTTATGCTTTTGTGACAGACTCAGCTAAACTTGGTAAATTGTTTAAAATATTTGTAACACTTGTGTTTCTCCAGAGTCAAAATATGTACATGACGTATATACAGGAAAATTTACACAGAGAATTTATTTGCGTTATTTTGTAGACATATTACAAGAAAAAAATATCAATACATTTAACTCTTATCGATATCAATATATTTATCATATATTTAGTTATTTTTTATTACTATTTCTGTCCCTTAGATAAATATGAACTTCGTCCAACTTAAAGTAAAACATTTAAACCATACCGACGAAAGAAGAAAGATCGTTCTGCCAAAATGTAGATATAATCGCATATCCATTGTTAAGGAAAACATGTTGACTCACAGTCTTTCCAAATATGGCATCACAAAACAAAAATAAATAGAGAAAAAGAAAAGGATAAAGCATTTTATTTCTGATAACCGAAAAAAAAAGGGAAACAATACTTTCCAAGATTAGACTTTTGCGTGGAAAATAATTCTAGCCAACATTCTCTTCTCCTACGCTATACACGTACATGCAGGCCTGTGTTGTCAGATAAATTAGTTCGTTTTCTATTCAATGTTATGTGAATTAGCACGATGAATATTTTTTACCGAAGCGTTTTATTTTTTTGTAATTCTCTTCTCCATTTAAAACTTTTATTTATCGTTTTATATTATTGGCTAACGAATTTATTTGACAAAGAAATATATATATATATATATATATATATATATATATATATATATATATATATATGTGTGTGTGTGTGTGTGTGTGTGTGTGTGTGTATATATATATATATATGTATATATATATATATATATATATATATATATATACTTATATATATATATATATATATATATATATATATATATATATATATATATATATATATGTGTGTGTGTGTATTCATATATATATATATATATATATATATATATATATAAAATAAGTTATATTTATTGTGCACAATTCTTATATCAGAGACATAAGAATCAACACTTCATAGTGATTGTCAGACTTGGTCTGAAGATTGCATTTACTACGCTATACACGTACATGCAGGCCTGTGTTGTCAGATAAATTAGTTCGTTTTCTTTTCAATGTTATGTGAATTAGCACGATGAATATTTTTTTACCGAAACGTTTTATTTTTTGTAATTCTCTTCTCCTTTTAAAACTATTATTTATCGTTTTATATTATTGGCTAACGAATTTATTTGACAAAGAAATTAATATATATATATATATATATATATATATATATATATATATATATATATATATATGTGTGTATATGTGTTTGTATATATATATATATGTACATATATATATATACATATGTATATATACGTATATACCCTGATATATACATATATATATACATATATATATATATATATATATATATATGTGTGTGTGTATATATATATATATATATATATATATATATATATATATATATATAAAATAAGTTATATTTATTGTGCACAATTCTTTATATCAGAGACATAAGAATCAACACTTCATAGTGATTGTTAGACTTGGTCTGAAGATTGCATTTACTACGCTATACACGTACATACAGACCTGTGGTGTCAGATAAATTAGTCCGTTTTCTTTCCAATGTTATGTGAATTGACACGATGAATATTTTTTACCGAAGCGTTTTATATTTTGTAACTCTCTTCTCCATTTAAAACTTTTGTTTATCGTTTTATACTATTCACTAACGAATTTAGCTGACAAAAAATTAATATATAGATATATATGTGTGTGTGTATGTATATATGTATGTGTGTATATATAAATGTACATATATATATATATCAATATATATATATATATATATATATATTGATGCACATTCTTTTTAGCAGAGGCATAAGAATCAACACTTCATGGTGATTGTCAGACTTGGTCTGAAGATTGTATTGAAACGTCATGAAACTGGCGATCACTATACAGTGTTGATTTCTATGTTAACTTTCTTTTTCTCTCCTCCTCTCTCTCTATCTATCTGTATATATATATATATATATATATATATATATATATATATAGAGAGAGAGAGAGAGAGAGAGAGAGGAGAGAGAGAAGAGATTCAGATAGATAGATAGATAGATAGATAGATAGATAGATAGATAGATAGATATGCGTGTCATCAATCATTTTTGGTAGCTTAAGACATGAAGTGCCTTTGTCAAACAAAGGAAAAAATTAGATGGAGTACTTGAAATGCTGAGTAAGTTGACAGATTAATAATCTGTTAAAATATCCGTAGAGGATCGAAATTGCTAGCATAATGTAAGTTCAAGTCTCAAGCAAAGCTTTGTGTCCAATAGTGAGGCACGTGTATCTTAAAATATGGCTGCTTGTCTGTTGCCATGAATTTGTAAAGTGTCACTGTTTTGGGTGCATATCTAAGAAGTCTAAAGTAAACATAACCACTCATTTTCAATATCTATATTACAGGTTGCGCGGCCTTCTATGCAACCTGATAATGAATCACAAGGGACTTTTTT